ACCACATTTTACAAGTTGGCCATGCCCACCCAGTCACATGGCTGGCAAGCCACTCCCACCGGTCACATGCCCAGCAAGCCACTCCCACAAAGCAGGCCACACCTACAGAAGAGGTTCTAAAAAATTTGAAACCCACCACTGGCATGCACCCACACATATAGTGTAATCCGTGTGCAACCCCACACTTGTGTGCAACTGCCCTGCATGCACCCCATCCTGTGCTCCCCTTGCATGTGTGATCCCCATGAATGCATATGAGTCCCCTGTGTGTGAGACCCCCATCATGTGCATGCGCCCTGGCATGTGTGCCCCACCCCTGTGCATGCACACATGGGTTCTACATGCACCCCCCTGTGCATGCATGGTAGAGATCTGAAAACCAGCTGGCCAGTGGAAGGTGCACGCACATGCGTGGCGGGGCTGAGCTGGGGCGATGGCTCACGTGCCCACGGAAAGGGCTCTGCGTGCCCCCTGTGGCCATCACGGAACTAGACTGACTCATATTTATGATGGTTGCAGTGTCCTGGGGTTATGTGATTACCTTTTCATGACCTTCTGACAAGCAAAGTCAATGGGGAAGCCGGATTCACTTAACAACCCTGCTTCTAGCTTGAGAACTGCAGTGATTTACTTAACAACTGTGGCAAAAAAAGGTTGTTAAACGGGGCAAAATTCTCTCAGCAACTGTTTTGCTTAGCAAAAGAAACATTGGGCTCAATTGTGATTGTAAGTTGAGGACTACCTGTTTAACCTATTTCTACTCCAGCTCTCCAGATGTCCACATACAAGACTGTAGGAAGTTACCACCCTCTCCTAGGAAAATGAAATATTTTAAGAAATATTAAAAGGGCAGAATATTTCCCCTAAAAGGGAGAAAGAAACTCAGACTCCCCACCTGTGTTAATGGACCATTAAGGCCTGAGCCAGATCATTTCCAACACAAAAGACATGGCCCTCAGGACATGATAGGATTAGCCCTCTAGTACCCATCTCGCCACATGGCACCTGGGAAGATTACATCATCCAGCAAGGCTCAACCAAGCCTGGGACACAGACAGCCTTCAAAGTTAGCTAAGCCCCTTGGGAGTCTGACCACCAATCAGAATACATTTCTTACACAGGAACAGGAAGCTCCAAGGCGGGGCCCAAGAGAGGGTATAAAATAGGCTCTCAGCATCTCTGCCCTTTTTTCTTCAAGATCTTCAAGGCATGTCCCCTCCAGGACCTCAAACCATGTGGTGCTGTCCACCATTAAAACTATCTTTCCAAGCAGCCTCCATGTTTCCAGTGTCTTTTTCCCCACTTGGAGCCGAACCCAGAAGGACATTTCTCCCAACAAGACTATATAATTTTGTTCAGTTAAAATAACACAGCTGAAAACTCCCCCCTCCCCTTATTAAAGCAGTTGGGCATTTACCGCTGTGTGAAAATGCAGCAATGGCTGTCCTCCTATATACATGCCCTCAATCTGTCACGTTTCTTTGTTCAACCTGTACAGACTGACCTTTTAATTAGGCTTGCACATTTAGGCATTAAGAAGTGTTTGGCTGCGTATGTGTGTGCATGTGTAATGTGTGTGTGTGTGTGTGTATGAATATATTATACATATATTCATTTTAATTGCACAAGCCAAGATCAGATCATCTGGCTTTCAGACAATAATGGGTACACACTGTTCCCCTCACCCCATTTTTCTTCCCTTACAGTTACCTCTGGGCTTTCCATGCTGGAATGAGAGAAGCCACAGACAGGGATCTGTACATGGCGAAAATGGAGACAATACTCCGATTGTTCTACTCCTGGCTCACAGCCCCCCAAAGCCCTGGCAGGCGGTGTAAGGGCCGGGGTGAGGGATGGAAAGAATTGTTCACATATGTCAGTTCATTCAACCCGAGGGATCACAAAGGAGAGAGAAAGGTCATATTACTGACCACCATTGTTGGTGGTTAAAAGGAAAAGTGGAGTGAGGTGGGTCCGGAGAAAGCCTTGAGGGTCTGCTCCAAATATTCTAATCTTTGGGAACCGACAGCATAGCAGTTAAATAAGTGCAAGTTATTGGATGTAAGGATCTAATGGAAATCTGGGAGTGAAGATTACTTCATTGATCTCAAATTGATTGATCCCCCACCCCTCCAAGCTGGCTGCATTTGCTTTCCTTCCAGAACTCGTAGGAGAAACCTTTGGCTCTAATTCCATCCATATGCATAGATTGGTAATTCTTAATCTTGGCAACTTTAAGATGTGCGGACCTCAACTCCCAGAGTTCCCCAGACAGCTGGCTGGGGAATTCTGGGAGTTGAAGTCCGCACATCAACTTCTGGGAGTTGATGCCAAAAAAGCCAAAAAATATTGGACAAAAATACGTATGTGGTTGGAGAAGATGATACAATAGAACATTGATTTGAAACCCGAAATATTCTTGCTGGGGATTTTACCAGGAACTTATAGTAAAGAAAATGTATATCTGATTATTCATATATTAACTGCAACTAGAATTGTATTTGCACAAAAGTGAAGAGATTCCTAGGATGAGAACGTGATTAGGAAAATATTAGAATGTGCAGAAATGAGTAGGTTAACACTTGCAATTAAAGAGAAGGAACAAACAGAATATTAAATTGTATGGGAACTATTCTACCGATGGCTAGAGAATAAATATGAAAGTAAGAAATAAAAGTAGATTAGTGAAGTATAGAAAATACATCAATAGAATTAAATAAGTTAAGATGAGGACTGTTAGAGTATTATATATGTTATGTATAGCAATATTAAGTTAAGAATAGACGAATAATGACTACGGTAAGGCTGTAAATCTTAATTGTTATCGCACAAGACATTTGTACCCAGGCGACACACTGTTTAATGGAAGATGGATTGTTTGTATTAAAATAAAATAAATTATTTTTTAAAAATTTCTGGGAGTTGAAGTCCACACCTCTGCACATCAAGGAAGCAAAACACAATCATGGATCTTCCCTATGGGAGATTGGGGGGGGGCTGAGAAATTTCTCAAGGAGGACACCACACGCTTTCAAAAAGAGGCCAAGACAGAGGTGAAAGAGTGTGAGTAGAAGAGACAAGCCCACCATGCCAGAGTTAGGAGCCTACTAACCTGAAGACAAGTGGTAAGATTAAGTGGTAACCTAGTGGTGATGGTGGAAGAGCAAGGGGACTGAAGTGGATGGAAGGAAACAGAGAAGAGAATAGGCCTGTGCATGTTGCTTAAAAATAAAAAGAGGGTGTTGATTTGCATTTGAGGTAATTTATGTAGAAAAGCAGCTATTCAGGAATAAGTTAATCAAACCTTCAGAAATCAGAAAGGCCCGCTCCTAAAAACCTGGGTATATTCTGGTGCCTGGGGTGCTGAATGCATTAAGGGCCCTGCTTGTTTATTCCTTCTTTTCCCCTAAACTTCACCCCTTCCCCACTTCCATCCCACAATCTCTCATAAGTCTACACTATAGTAGTTTTCATGAAGTTCCCATTCAGAACCATAAAAAGTGGCGCTGTCCGTTT